CGTCATCGAAATATAGGATACGTAGAGTAAAACGCGCCATTCGAGTCAGTTTTCGATTCTTGTCGATATCTCGATCGATTGCCGAGATACAGAGGATTGAAAGTTTATGTAATGCACGGGTACGGGGATCGTGGATAGGGATCTGCGATAACCTACATTTTTTCTTGGAAATGCGTACTAAGAATTTTCTCCCAAGAATAGCGTATTATTACGTTTTTTTAAGCGACTGTCGCTCGACTCGAGTTTGAGATAAGTCGGTGAGACGGCTAGCGCGAGCCGAATGGACAAGTGATAGTAAACGATGAAAAATTACCTTTCCCTTTGCACGATGATATCTCGGCAACCGGAAGTCGTATCGGGATGAAACAAAAAGCGTTTTAAAGGGGAAGGTTCCGCGCTTCCAACGATCTTTCATCCATCGATAGAAAATCATTATCTTCGGAATTATAACGATTCAAAGTTTTTCTAATTTTAATAGGATTACATCGAGTTTTTGGATAGATACGTTTCGCTGCAAATGTGCACTGCATTCTTCTCCGTTAATTTATCAAACGAACGCGACATCAAACGAATTCTTCCATCTTTGCACCGAGTATACCGAGCGAGAAGCGTTTCTTCTTTATCCTGCAACATCCTCGGAACGAGACATCTCGAGGACAGTCTCATCGCCGTTGCCCGACGTTCGTAATAATACACCAACCCATCGACGGAACATCATTTCCCTTCGCAGCGACGCCGTGAAAAAAGGCGTGGAGGTTGAGGCCGGACGAGGTAATTGCTAGAATAAGCAGCTCGAGAGGCGTGCTTTTGTGCGTCGGATTGATCGATGACACGAATGACTTTCCTGGGTGCGCGCAGTTTCGCGCTGCATTATGTCGCGCTAAGTTATGAGTAGCGCGTGGCGTGGTCGGGCCTCTGGCGTGTGACGGGCGTTCATCGTCAGATGCGCACGTACATCGGTGCATGCACGCTCCCGTTTATGCGGATATTGTCGCGCACTCGCGCGGGAACACGTATTCAATTGTCGGGGCTACATTGTTCCGTGTACACGATGTGTAATGAAAAACATTCTCGTAAAACGTGGCGCTGTCCTCTCCCTCGCCAACTCGAACCTCGTAGTCCTCGTTCTTTTGCGACGTGATGTTTTATAAAAAAAAAAAAAGAAAGAAAGAAAGAAAGAAGAGGAGGAAAGAAAAGACGAGAGAGGAAAGAAAAAAGGAGGAGAGAGGGAAGGGAGGGAGAGGAAGGAAATAAGTAGGAGAAAAGAAGAAAGGGGGAGGGGAGGAGGGGGAGAAAAAAACGAACTATTCTTTCTTCCATTTCCAGACAGCTGGAAGGTAGACGATAGCGTGACAAACGCGAGACACTTTATATCGAACGGAATGCCGCCTATTATCGTCGATCCTCGTTTGAATTGCAAGGAGCACCGGCGAAAAGTCGAATGCGAACGGACGTCGAAAGGGGCGGGTTCGCCTTCATAGCGAAGCCACTGAATAAGGCCACACTGTTAAAGACCTCTCTCTCTCCTCTATCCCTCAAAGGCTGGCGGTAAGTGAATAAAGTTTTGCTTCTTTCAATTATGCTCCTATACAATGTTATTATATACGTTGTATACTTGTTATTGAACAAAAAGAAGGGGGGGGGGAAAAAAAATTCAAGATTTTGAAAATAATAAAAATGATGTCAAAATCAGGACGATCGAGTCGAGGATTATTCTATTCGGATGAAGATAAATAAAAAATGATACGGTAGCTTATTATTCATTATTCGACGTAAAACGACGTTGAATTATTTATTATATCATTTCAAGTATCAACTATTCACTTTAACTTTCTGTAAACGAATTCTATTCTATTCCCAAGAATTATACGTATTTTCGTATTCTTTCTATTTACGTTTTAGTTAATTTCGTACAACTCTATATATAACGACGGAATCGATATATAATTGGTTATTGTTCGAGAGCACGAAGAGATACGAAAGAAACGGGTTGGAAGAATTCACGCCAATAAAAATTTTATTACCCGTTTCGTGGTCTCGAGAGAAATCCTGGACGCGGGGACTCGGGCGTCCGTGAAATCGTCTCGCGTGAAAACATCGCGCGTATTAAATTTCGTACGATAAACAACGTAAGATAAATTCGTAAACAGAGAAAGAAACGGCCTCCTATTCGTTCGATATAAATGATTTTACTCGTTTATGTATCGCGTCCTCTTCGCGTTCCTCGTCGAACCTTTTACAGTTAATATCGGACAAGGTGGGGGGAGGGGAAAAGTACATAAGCTGTAGAACTTAGCCGTCGAACAAAACTGGACCGACTAACTGTCTCGCTCTATTTCCTCTCTTCTTCATTTCCCATTTACCGTACCCTATTGTTTACCTTAAAGACAAAAAAAAGAAAAAAGTGAAAAACGCCGTTTAAAACGCTGTTTGAAAGTAGAAACGAAGCGCAGAGAGAGAGAGAGAGAGAGAGAGAGAGAGAGAGAGAGAGAGAGAGAGAGAGAGAGGAGGAGGGTTTTAAAAAAGAAACGCGATCGCGACGAATCTGGGAGAATAATCGAACCTGTCCAATGTTTAATTTTTACTTTTCTTACTTCATTTTTCTCGTTTTGGGGAAACGTTGATTCGATTTTTTTCACCTCTGAATTCTATCAATTCTTCGCTCTCCTCTAAAGTCTCTTCTGAAAATTTTGTTACGCCGATAAAATTCTTCGCCTGGTTTAATAAACGACTTACTTACCTTCCATGTTCACCACGAGCATCGTTTACGGAAGGAAGTTGGTTAACAGGGCCGTAGCGAGTGAGTAATTAATCGAGATCTCGTCTGTCTAAATTGCGAATCTCTGCCAACTGCTCATTGGTTTATTTGAGAGAGGAACGAATAGTTCGAGATTTCCCCAACTCTCGGCCATGGGAGAGTAAAATTACGATAAAAAGTGTCAACTTACCTTCCTTCTTCGAACGATTTATGAAGAGTTGGAAAAAGAAAAGTGGAAAGAAAACGAATAACATCCGTCCGATTTTGATGATCGCGTGTCGAGATTGCGCCCGTGTGGAAAACACCTGGAAAGAGCCTGGAACCCGTTTGAACGATTGGAATTGACCAACCTTTACGATGATTTATAATAATTTCATTATTACCGAGAATCGTTTTCATTTTCTTGAACGATTCTCGTCTTGGTTCGAGGAATAAAATAAACGCGACTCGAGTAAAAGGATAAAGATCACTTTAACTTTAACAAAAGAATGGAAAGGATATTTTATACTTTCGTTTTATACTCTCTTCTTTTTTAGGGAGATACGATATTATCGCGTCAAACGTGAGACGACGTTCAACTCTATACGCAGCGAGCTAATATTACGAATATATTACGAAAAATATATCGTTTCGCTCGAACTGTACGTAATAGATATAACGTATATATAATAAGAGCAAAAATAACATTGTAATAATAACAAAGATAATAATAATAAAATTAACGATATTATCTTTTACCTCTTTTATCCTATGTCGAAACGTAAAAGGAACGGGATGATAAATATTAGGATCGTTAAAATAACTGTGGGATAACAAGTTAGTTACAAATCCATGACTCGTTTATTAAGAAATACTGTATTGTTCCGACAAAATCTTCCACTATCGCGAAACGGTGATGGTGGTGATGGCGATGATGGCGATGAACTTAATTCCTCTTCGTAAAGCTACGGAAACGCTTGTTCATCGTCGCGCCTCGAACGATCGAACCAACGATCTCTCGCGTCTCCAATCGTCTCGACGAGAATTCTTAGGCGCGTTGCACGCGCCCCCCGATAACGCGATTCCATTCGCGTTCAAAACACAAACGCACACAAACGCTTAAGAGAAGCAAGTACAACATCGAGGTTTTTCTTTTTTTTTTTTTTTTGTTTTCTTCTTTTCTTTTCTTTTATTCGCTCCCAGGAATACCCTGTCGATCATCCTCCTCCTCCTCCTCCTCCTTCCCCTCTCCCGTTTTTCGAATTCGGGAGGACCCTCGAATCCCTCGCCGTTCTTCCCCCTTCTTCTCCTCTCCTCTCGAAGAGAAGACAGAGGGGAGAAGACACGGAGGTGGACAAAGAAGACTCAAGATACACGGATAAAGTACATCTCCACCTCCCTCCCTCCCTCTCCTCTTCCCTCTTCCCCAAAGTTGCAACGTAACGATTCATGAACGATGACGACGATGATCGTCTGGGAAGAGAAATTTTTCTCTTCCCCCTCCCGTGGATCGATGAGGAAACGTGGAAACGCGAGGGCGGAGGCAGGCGCGTGATTCGAGTCGAGTCGAGCCGAGCCGTTCTCCCCGCGCTCCTCCAGCGGAAATCTACCGGTTGCTGGCCAAGTGTGCGCAGGCGAGTAGCGCGAGGTGGTAGAGCGACAGGTAGATCCGTGGCGTGGATGGGCCGGTCGAGGCGAGGGCGAACGCGTACGACGAGTAACACTTCTTGTAGGATTCCGGATTTAATCGGGTGACGGTGCAGTAATGGTGGAGGGCGCAGGCTCCGTTCAACGGCCCCCCGCAGCCCCAAATTTGCTCCACTTCCCGCGGCAACGAGACCGTGTTGGCCGCGTAGTATCTGTGGGAAACACAAGCGGGCGCACACACGGGGAGAGTTGACAAAAGATGGGCTCGGTCGGCCGATTAATATCGACGCGTAGCGAACAGGCGAAAAGAGAAGCGGACGATTATAGGCGCGTAGGGGATAATGATAATTGGCTCGAGATATATGGGGATCGCATCGCGTAACATGGCGAATTTTCACTAACGGCTCCCTGCGCGCGCATCCGATCTTTTCCTCGAACGCGCGTTAAAAGATTTCGAGCGTTTCTTTATCGTTCGAATCTCTTTTCCTCCTGACAAATATTCGCGAGCTGAAATATCGAGTATCGGGAGGGCAACAAGGAGGAAGAGAAAGGAACGAAGAAGGTAAAGGGAGGATCGGATTTTGGGAAAAATTTTTCCCGTCCACGATCTACGTACCTGACGAAAGCGTAATCGTTGAACTGGGTGAATCGGTCGGCCAGGTCGTGGAGAGAGATCGCCGTAATTTCCTGAAGACTGTAATATTCGAGCAGAGAGTACTCGATCAACCAGTTTGCCGTCCCGGAGTTCGCTTCCGGCAGATTGAGATAGTACTGAGTATAATCCAGCACCTGAACAAAAGGAAACGAAAGAGAAAAATACTATACTATATATACATATACATACACGTATCCTGTCTCTTTCGAAAAGAAGAAGGAATGGATGTTGATTACTTAATTTCCGTTTACCTGGCCGGTCGTCGTTTCGAATTTGTACAGCCTTAAGCCCGGATTGTTGGGTCCTCCAGGCGTGGTTGGCGATATACTGGGCGCCATCATTATCCAGGATACGGGCAGACCTGGCGACACAAACGGTCGGTTGGCGAAATTGATCGTTGCGCACCGCCACGTGTTCACGTTCCACGTGCGCGCGACGCAAGTGGAAAGAGCGAAAAAAGATGTAAGAGGGAGGGGGGAGTTTAAATGCGCGTCAAACTGTACGCGGCCGATGTAAACCACGGACGAGTGAAACGAATGGAAAGTATTTCTGGCCGGCGGACGACGCGCGGAGAATTTATCGATTCGTCCGTGGCCTCGGCCATTTCCGATGAAGGAACACGATGAAAAATATGAGTGGAGCGTGACCGAATGGACCTGCACAGCGTCGTAAAATTGAACCATCCTTCATTTACGCCTCCACTTCTACCCCCTCCCCTCCTTCTATCTATCTATCTCTCTCTCGCTCTCCACTCGAATACGACGAGTTACGAGCATTTACTCGATCGTCGAAACTTGTTCTCGAGATTTGATTACTTGGATACGGACGATTGTCCGATTCGAAACTTATTTCCAAGTTTTTCGATAAAAGTTTTTTAACCAGGTCTTTCTTTTCTTTTTTCTTTTTTTCTCCGCTTTATCTTAATTCAGACGAAGAAAGAAATAAATTGCTCATTTCGGGTCACGCACGTGCTTGTGTGGACACGTTTTGTTATGGAAACTAGGAATGATTATTTACCCTACGCTTAATACGTTTTATAGATTTTACTTGTCAAAGCCTCATCCGTTTCGAAGCATCAAAGACTTTTTTTTCTTTTTTTTTTTTTCCCCCCTTTTGCAAGTTCGAACTTAACAAACGCGCCGGTGGAACCGTTAGGAAACTCGAATCGCCGTTGTTGAATCGATTTAACAAAGGCGCGTTTTTCGATACGCGTCGCGTACGACAAAAGCGAAATACGACGAGAGCAAGAGTCTTTGCACTTTGACGAAAAAAAAAAAAAAAAAAGAAAAAGAAAAAAATAACAACAATATCGACGAATACGTACAAAGTCACGTATAAAATGACGACGAAATACCGATTTCGATTTTCGAACGCGTTAAAAAAAATGAAACGTTACCTATCCACCAAAAGCTGCAGGAAATCGAATCGACGAACGAGAGCAATCGACAAAAGGATAAAAATCACGTGTATATATATACGCGGTAAGAGGGAGGGAGAGAGAGAGAGAGAGAGAGAGAGAGAAAAAAAGGAAAGAGTCGAGCCACTTGGTGAACCGCAAATCAGTGAAGGGTTGAACAACGTTGCTCGCGGCGCATCGATCCGTCGGCCTCACCGCGACGCCGACCGCCGCTCTATTGGCCGACACAAGAAGGGACAAACAGAGATGCATCCACCTACCGTTATCGTTATAAACCACGCGAAAAGTGTCCGTGTGCCAGTGACCGAAGAACTGACCGCGAATGATGTCCGAGTACAGCCGGATCAGCTGCAGATATTTGGCGTTGTGACGCTCGTTCAACATGGACGCGCCACTCTCCCGATCGTCCACCCCCGGCGGTGTGTGACCCACGATGTAAACCTAAAAAGAAAAAGGATCGAGTCGTTATTCGATCCAGCCAATGAGATATCGACGTTCTTTCGATCAAACACCCTTATAACATGTGTATGCACGATGTTAATTGCCTCCGCGTTCTCTGCTTGGAGGAGGATCGTGTTTGATTTTGCATCATGCTCAATGACGATTTTCGCTTCGCTCTCGTTTTTCGTTTTTCGAAATTAAACTAATTCGATCGACGGGTTTAAGCGGGCAGGGAAGCAAGAAGCGTTGCACGCGAATTCCCTCTCGTCAAGCTTGTAACGAGAAGCGAATCTCTCTGTCTCTCTCTCTCTCTCGTTAGCGCGGGTAAACGGAATTCCGTAAGCGTTATTCAGGAGATACGGATCCGAGTTGTCGCGAAACACCTAATCGAGCACGTTCGCGAAATTAAACGCGACCTACGTTGATCCTATATATATATATGGAGCTCGTAAACTGGCTGCTCGTGCTCGATATTTATGGAGAAAAATGGTGGGAAGATAGAAAATTCTGGGCGGGGTGAAAAGAGATGGAAAACGAGAAGACGTAGCGGAAACGATTATCTCTTAAAACGCAAAACTAGGATAGAACGTTGGATATTATATGTTAGAAAGAGAGAGAGAGAGATGGGGGAAAGGAATGGTCGGAAAATTCGTAAAAACGCGGAAAAGAATTCGTGGAGAGGGTAAAGACGGGAAAAGGGAAGGGATCAAGTTAAGGTAAGGGAGGGGAGAGGGAGGAAAAAGTGATAAAATTGCGAAGGTGAAAAAACCGACGGTACGAGTTAAGGAATAAAAACGATCTCGGAAAAACGAGAAATCTAACTACGGTTAAGAGGTGAAGGTGAAGAGACGACAAAAGGGAGAACGGTCCCGGTGCAAAAAATAAAGACAAAAGGACGCGGCTGACCAACCGCGGATGATACGTAGCGGACGAGAGAAAACTAGGGGGCTAGGAATCAAAGAATAAAAGGAGAAAAGAAAGAAGCGAAAATGAAAAATAAAAAAAAAAAAGAAAAAAGGGAAAAAGTTCGTTCCAACGAAAGAATAGAAGTCAATGACGCTACGAAGAAAGGGATAGTGGAGGGGGGATATGGCATAACGTTGTCGGCGGATAAAGAAAAGCTCGTTAAGCTGATAAGAGGAGAAAAAAAAAGAAAAAAACGTGGAAAAAGTCGTTTTCCATTCGCACGGAGATCCGTTTCGAACGAATTGCACCGGTGGGAAAAAGTAGATTTTCTTTAAACGGTGAACACCGTCGTCGATCGGGCACCGGGGAACGAAACTTTGCTCCCACCGAAAGAGATAAGTGTTACGCGGTTCAGTAGGCACGAACGACTCTTCCAAACGTAACAACAAGCCCGTATATTCCGTCCTTCCATCGCGTCACGAAACACTCCCCCCTCTCCTTCCCCACTCGTCGATCGCTCACTTCTCGACACACGACCGAATACTCCGGTACGATACTCTCCGTACGAGAGACGTATGCGGCCTATGGTTGGCTATTTGCCTTTCCGACTATCCGACCGAAATATTGTCACTGTGTGTCCTCGATTTTTCGCGCAGATTTTTCGCAGTTTGTCGCGCTCGCGATTTTTTCGGCATACTTTTTTCCTTCTGCCTCGATATTTAATATTCATCGGTGGAATTTTTCAACGATATTTCTTCTCCGCTCCGGGAAATACCGCGTTATTATATGTATATATATATATATATATATATATGTATACTACATACGTGTGACTTTAAAAAATATTAAACTCGGTGTAACCGTACTCGTATTGCGAATTCAAATACGATATTGATTCAAATTTAAATATATCGTCTTCGCGATAGTTCGATTTGCATAATTTCACCGAAGAACGAACGAACGAATGAACGAACGAATGAATAATATTTTTAACGCGAAATCCGATTCTTTAAAATGACGGAATATTTATAAGCACGTTCAGTTCGTTGTGAAAAGTACGTGAAAGGTATTTATATCGATTCCGGCAAATAATAAACGTAGAAAATGAAATATCGCTTCTTATATAAGCGAATTGAATTCTTTTATATCGAATTGGAAATATTTTATATTGACTTACATACGTGAATGCGCATCGAAATTAATCCTATATCCCTACCCTATCATCCTACTTGTTTGTTATCGATATGAGCTATTAATATCTATCGGTTTATCGGCTTTGGTTAAGCAATATCCCAGTTAAATGCACGTATGTGTATTCGATGCACGTGTTCCCTTGAATCGATTCCCTTAGAAAAACGAAGTTTTGTTGGGAAAAAAAAAATCGACGAATAAATAATCGTATACAATTGTTTCGCTCGATTACGAGTAAGCATTTAAATAACGCCCGCAGGAATATCGAGAGCGTAGAAGTGGGCGTAACAAAGAAGCATCGTATCCGTGCGTGTACGGAAAAATTCGAAAAAATTTTACGCAACACGGGAGCGAGGAAGCAAACGATATCTCTAAATATCGAGAGCCACAATACGCGTCGTTCCTGACTTTCGATCGATCCTTTCGCAAAGAAACCGTTTACCTCGATACGCGTATATTCGTACTGCTTCTCTTTCAAAAAGGGTTTTCCCGTCTCTCTCTCTCTTTCTTTATATATATATTGGCCCTGTTCGTTCAATGTCATATTGGACCAGGTTGTACATTAGAGGAAGCCAGAAAAAAAATCTGATTTGCAGCGTGAAATTGAACTATTTTAAGCGCGAGAATTGACGCTATACTATTCACTGGTGGAAAGAAGTGTGGCGGAACGGTACAAGGATCGCCTATCTCTCTGCTTCAAACGCTCTGTTCACAATCTTAAAAGAGCTATATAATTCGAATATTCGAAATCGTAAAAATTATTTTTTATTTATAAACGTATTTATAGGATAATCATCGTGAAACTGAAAGCCGAAATATTTTCGAAACTATCCATAATACGTTCAGCAGAAATATTCGCAAACGTACAATTATTATCTTAACTACTTCAACTATTAAACTATCGTTACAAATTGTAATTATCCTGTGGATATTGACGAGAAATATAAATAAAATAAAATATAATAATAAATAATATAATAATAAAAAGTTGGAATTCTCTTAGCCGTTAATGCATTTAGATAAAGATCGTCGTTTTTGTCGGATCGTTATGCGCGATAAATACCATGGTAGAAAGAAAGTAGGCGTTTCCTTTTTCAAATTGACCAATCAGAGCCGCGAAATTTCCTTCCCAACCAGTTTCACGCGGTTACTCGCGAACACGGCCAAGGAGCGTGTGTCGTTATTTCGTCTCTATTATCCCGGTTTCTGAAAATTAATTCTTCGTGTCTACGTCTCGACGTGTACGACGTAGATTCTCTTTTCTTATTCTCGAACGTGTCACGGGAGGAGCGAAGACGAGGAATCTCGGAAAAGAAATTCGCACAGTTTTCGGGAGCGAGAACTCAACCAGCCAAGTTCTTATCGTTAGCCGACAGAGTTTCCAAACTTGCCGTTGAATTTCAAATAAACGAACCAACTTTCTTGTACTTTCGCGCAATTGATGAACGCCTTCTTTCGTCCTTATATACTTTTGAATATACTTTTATCCGTAGAAACAAAAGTAGAGGAACAAAAGGATGGATCCGTAGACCGACCTAAGACGATTTAAGAGGAATTAACGAAATGATTCTTTTTCCTTCCCTGTCCAATAAATTCCGAGTAAAAATATGAAATTGAACGCGAGGAAAGGACGCGGAAAAAAAGAAGAAGAGAAAATTGAAGGAAAGATAGGGAATAACGATCGTTGGTGAGCGACGCGGCGAAGAAACGAGACTATCTTTCTCGTGCCTCGGCGCACATGGAATTCGCGACATGTGTATACATCGTTCAATCCAAATGGGACGTAGCTGGTATGCTTTCAAAGAATCTGCATATGACGGTAAGGTTTCACGTCGTGTTGCGTGTACGTACGTTGATTCCCTTCCATATATATATATACATATATATATATATATACAGGGAGACGAAAGATGCTCGGAGACGAAAGAATGCTCGATGTCTTACGAGCACGAAGGTGTTCAAGGGTTACGCTCGCGGAAGCGAGCAGCTCTATCTTTGCCGGAATATATTTCCGTTACAGCTTATCGCGTATGTATGAAGCGATTCAAATATTTAAATTATCCTTTGTTCGACAAATTTCTCTTTGTTACTTACTGTCTTCGAAAGAAAGAAAACGTCACCGTCGAGTGAAACGAATCGTTCGGAATGAGAGCGTGTTAAAAAACGAAACAAAAAAAAAAAAAAAATACGAAACAATGGATCTCGTGTCGTTGCGGAGGAACGAAAAATATTTTTTTTTTTCCCCTTCTTTATTTTTCCTCTCCGCCCAATCCGATTCGATACGTTTACGAACGAAAAAAAAAAAAAAAAAAAGAAAGGGTGAATTTAATTTCTGGCCGCTGACAATAAAAGGGTAGCCGCGTTGATCTGAGAGGAAAAACAGGCAGGGCATATAAATTTTTTGCCCCCGGTTCCGCGCTCCACCCTCGAATCCCGTGGACCCCGAACGATTTGATTTGAAACCGAAAAGTGCACGGTCGATAGGCGCAAAAATCACCGCACTATTCACGGCCCGCTCGCCGATAAATCGAGGCGAGCGACAATGGTGTTGCTGATTGGTCAGTTTCATCCGCTGACGTGTCTAAGCGGCTTGTAATTTGTAATCGTATTATCGGTCATCGATCGATCTTCGACTTCCCCGAGAAGAGAACAAGTTTCCTGCGATTTTCCATACGCGGCGGCCAAGGCGGGGCATGGAGGAAAGGAGAGAGAGAGAGAGAGACAAAGGCGGGGATTATACTATACCTGTACGGGGTGCAAATCAGATTTCCATCCATTCAACCAACCGCCCGCATCATTTTTCGAAAAGCTTCAACTCGTCTCGTTCGATACGTACCTCTCACGAGATATATATATATATACATATATTACGTTGAGCTGTATTTACAAGAGCATCCTGAGAGAAATGTACGATATAATTTTTTCATTTAAGTTGTCTGTTTGGATTTCATTTTCAATAGTCGTTTCCCTCAATTTCTCCAATTTGAACGGAGACGTGGGAGCGATGGCCACTTCACGAGTGCCAAAGCTTTTGATCCCCCATCCTTCGAAACCTTCTTCTAACCCCCTCTTAATTTACATTTTCAAGGAGAACAATTGGATTGGGTTGGAGGAAAAACCAAGATCCGCGATAGTCTTCCGAATCAGATCAGTTAGAATAAAATAGAATACAAATCGCGTAGAATTCAGCAACGACGCGCGAGTTCAGCTGCAAACATTTAAAGTGAACCAGCATTCGTTTGAGTATAAACGATATATACAATAAAAATAATTCTTAATAATAGCATCGGTTCGTATTTGTGCAATATTCAAAGCAAAGTTCGACTTAAACTTTGATGTTTCATGGTCAGAGAACGGCCAGTGAACGATCAGATACCAAAGTCTGCATTAATTCATCGAAAGGTAACTCATCGAAATAAAGTTAGTTTAAGCGATTTTAATTTCGTTTTAAAATCCTCGTAGTTGTTATAATTAACTCTCTCTCTTTCTATCTCTCGTATTAACTCGGTCGGTCAGCGCGCCAACGCTCAAGGACAAGTAGAAAAAAAGTGTAAACAAATGGGAGCGTTACCGAGTAGTACGAGTGTACGATATGCTCGGACAAGTAGAGGAATGCGGGCGTGATCGGGCGAGAAGAGGAGAGGATAATATTACCCAACTTGTTTTAATAAACTTCTTCCTCGAATATGTATTTTACGTAACCGTAATCTTCGAGTTATTTCGAGTGGGAAGTTTATGGAAGAACGTCCATACGGGCTTACATATGGGATCAATAGGGATCGGCACGCAACGATTTAGATACATTACGATTCCGTGTATGGAATTCAAAGTCCCGGCATAATTTATCACCACAGGTAACGCGGAGCCAGCTTGAAGGATTCTCCTCGCTTCTAAACGGCCCGGGGCTCGTAATCGATAACCGATATCTAGAGAGAGAGAGAGAGGAGCGTCATCCTGACACTGATACCGCGCCAATTGTAGCGCGTAACCGGCGAATTCGCAATGCAAAGAGCCCATCAGACCCCCGAGAATGGTAATTGGTCGTGGAATAAATTCGCGGCCGATCTCATTTCGTGGGGCAAACTCATAAAGCTTTCTGCCTCTCTTTCTCTCTCTCTCTCTTCTAACCGAATCGTAGCCGAGGGAAGATTGGAATTCTTTTCATCGGAGGCTGATATGAAATAGACGTTTGTTCCGGATAAAGATCGATCCCGCGCCGATGGGGACGGTTGGAAACGCGCTTATTGGAGCGAAGAGTAAATTTTCGGGGAAGTTAGCTCGACGAGACACATTGCCCGGCCATCTTTCACTCTCTCGTGACGGTTTATCGCGTGCCCCCGCTTTGCACCGCGACGATTAAATCGTGTAAAATAGTTTCTCCAGTGGGCGAAGCTTGGAGGATCTTTCGACTGTCTTTCAATTTTCGAGGAGTTTATTTACACGATCGATAATTTTTCCTTTCTATTTGGTTATTTATTTAACGCGAGAAATAAAATTTTAGAACAGAACCGTCCTCCTGTATCGAAAGGAGATTTACCTTTACCCAGAATAATATTACAGGGAACAATTTACAGCGTGCATTTTGATCAATCTATAAATGGCGTTCCCCGAGGCACATCGGAAACATGGCGAATCGAGGTTGTAACTCGCTCGTTTTTAAAGATAAATCGATTCGACTTCTCCGCGCAGGCACAATTATGAAAGTCCGTAAATCTTAAATGACGGAAACTCGAGCACCCGTGTCATTTTTCCATCCTTCTCTCCCCAACTTGCAAACCTTCGATATCGATCTCACTCTTACCCATCGGGATGCAAGTTTAAGGATACTTATTTCTCTCTTCTCTCTCCTTTGCCCGTACTTTTTCCCACGATAGCGCACACGTTTCTTTATATATTGCAAAAAGAAGAAAAAAAAAAAAAGAAATTTCTTTCTTTAAACAATTTCCCGATTCGGCTCGATTTTTTAAAAAAATACAAAGCGATATCCACGAAGGGAATATCGAATGGGAATGATGATCGAGCCGTCGAACAATATCGAATATTAATATTTCCTGGGAAACTTGGTATCCCGACGCGGAGAAAGCGGATTCAACGATCGGTTTCAGGCTATAAAGCTTCGGGTCGGAAGTTCTGTTATTGAGTGATAGCCTGTCATCCCGATAACTGCGTCCCGTGTAAATAATTTATCGCGACAGGAGCCAAAATGGAGGAAACGAAGCGGCATCGGCATTGATACCCCGCGATTTTCATCCCCCAAGGGGGGAATTGACGTTTCGTCAATAAACCTCCTTTGCCGCCCAACTTCTCCTCTCCTTCTCTTCCCGTGTTTATCTCTCTCTCTCTATTCCTCTTTCCTCCTTCCCCAAATTTCTCGCTTCGCGACGCGATCCATTAAATCCAATCCTTCGTTTCAATTAACGCGATCCACGAAGAACGTTATACGTATATGAGCAGCGTTTTCGTTTCGAGGAAACGAATCGATGAAAAAACGTTTTTACGTCGAGAAAGTATGCGAAAGTTTCGGGTTTCGATGGCCTCTGGACGGTGCAATTTTCGTATCCGACGGCTGCTTCGTGCGCAACATGATCGAGGAAAATGTTTACGAGCCAAAGTTTAATGTAACGTTGGGCGAGAGCGGAGATAAGATAAGATAAGATAAGATAAGATAAGATAAGATAAGATAAGATAAGATAGGACAAAAAAAAAGGATACTGGCGCGATAATGGGGAGGGGGGGAGATAACGGTTCTAGATGTGGTCGTACGTAAATGAATTCGGGATTCTTACCGTTTCCTCCTTCCTTCGAGCTGTCTCGAGAGTCGTCTGGAACCAAGACCATTGATTCAAAGGATCTTGCGTGTTATCGACCACGCTCGCTCCGGATTGGTGGTGCAGCATACGATTATCGGCCGTGTTCAGCCACAAATTCGTGTTGAGGAAAATGATCCGATATTTCTCCGAGGTTTGCTCTATCGTGTAATATCCGGCTGTAACAAGTGCGCCAAATAGTCGGATGAGTTTAACAGCGGCGGTTTATACGTACACTCACTCTCTCTCTCTCTCTCTCTTTCTCTCGCTTCGCAGTGATCTCGTTCGCGCGATTCTCTCGATTCACCTCGTGTTATTCAACCTTTATTGAAACGACGACGGAAGAAGGAGAGGAGAAATACAGCGGAGGGAGGAAATTTTTGTTTGCTCGAGAGGTGCGCGCGCTCGCCTTTTATTCGTTCTCCCGTTCGAATAAAAATTCGAGTGGGTAATATGCACACACGCTCGATGGAAACGATGGTTGATTCAAGCGTCGGCCAAGTAGGGATTCTTCGTATCGGGTGAGAAGTATCGAACGAGGGGGAATATTGATTTTTTCGCATAAGTAATGAATTTGAATGGCCAGGGTTTTTTTCAACCCGTTGTTGAACCGATTATTCCTCCAACGGAAGAGGAGGAGGGGAGTATGGATTATCGGTCGGGATAATATTCCCCGTCGTAGTCGGAAAAATTCTTGTTAAACTCCCAACTTCGGATCCATGGATGGATTTTATTACAACTTCGGAGGAATAACAAAGATTTATAACGAATATTAATATTCTTCCGAATTGGGGGGGTAAAATGAGAGGAACGAAGGATAAGAGGAAGGGGAAATGTTCGATCGATATTGCTAGAATGATAATTCATTGATACTCTCTCTCAAGCCGCGAAGACGAGAAAAAGAAAAAGAAACCTCCCTCGTTTCCGTAGAACAAGGAAAGCGGTTGGATGAGTACGTACCGCTTTTTAAAGTGTCCAAAGCCTCTTGGGGCAGCCAGGTTGACCAAAGCTCGGCAAGTTGGGAGAAGTTCACCGTGTCGTCGTGCCCGAGCACCGGAAACACAAATAGCCCCTTAAACGTGCGAGACAACAGATCGGTCAAATTCCGCAAACACTGGAGACGGAGCTCGGCATTCATACCAGTAGTGCGCGTCAGCGCGTCACTGCAACAAGTAGTTACAGGCTCGTTAGTGTCCTGGTTACGTAGCTGAGCAAAACCAACCCAACCCTTTTCCCCTGGAAAACGAGTCGTTCCTTCGAATCGTTACTACTAGAATAGATTTTAGAATACTTTTAGAATAGATTTTAAAATAAATTTTTAGAATTAGATTTTTAGTGTAAGAAGATCCGTTCTTTTTTCTTATCTTATCTTATCTCATCATCTCGTGGAATTTGCTCGTTTCGAATCGAGGAAGAAAAGAAGAAGAAGAAGAAGAAGAAGAAGAAAAATAAAAACCTCGAATCTTTGTAAATTTTAGCGAGGGGGGGAGTTAATGAAATCGTTCATCGTTGGACGTGTAAAAAGAGGTTTAACGAGACTCGCGCGTACGCCACTTTCGAACGAGCAACTCAATTAGGAAGTTGGAAAATCGAATGGTACAAATTGAGAAGAATGAACGGCAGTCTTCCGAGCCTGGTTTCTATGTATGTGTACGTAATACACGTGTTTGCGCAACTTAATGAGAAAGCCGGGGAAACTTTGTAACCATCCCCCAGAAGCAGAAGGCCATTAAAAAAATTGCCGCAATTAGATCCTCTTAGAGACTGGATTTTTTTTCTCCCCCTGAAAGTGAGAATTTCCTTCGTTTAAATTTTTATTCGATTCTAGGATACCATTGGCCCGAAATCCGCCCCGCAATCTCACGATCGTGGAGAGATATTTTTATACCAAGTTAATTTTAAACTTTGAAAAATGTATTCGTTTTTATCTACGAACTAAGAAACTTATCAATTGATGGTAAAATGTGATATCGATTTATCTCGATCGGTTCCTTTCCTTCTCTTTTAAATATTCTCTCCGTAAAACGAAATTTTTGTTCAATGAATCGGATGATAATCGAATAACCGTTTCTCTATAATTTCTTTCCCGAGTTAAAATTATATCGATGGCAAAAAGATCGGAGGAGAATTATCAATCGCCTCGATAATTTATTCATAAGTGCATTAACATTCCCAATTCGGTGGTAAATATAAATTGATCAAACTCCATTAAACCGACAAGTCGTATGGTTTAATTTATACGGGACGCACAATGGCTGCGTCGCGTCCAGTAAACACAAATCTTTACAAATCCGTGCAATCTTGTCTAATTTGCGAATTATCGATTACCAGGTCAGTTTATGATAATATCTATCGCGTCGAAGACTAATCAGTTTTCATCGATTCATCGTCCAATTTGCCAATAACATAAACATTCTATTCATCACCGCGAGCTAATCTCACCTTCGATGCCTATTTTCTCGTGCTAATAGCGCTCGATAAGCTTCACACTTTTTACATCCTATAAAGTTACATCCGAGGCGTAATACGATTAAATTTCTTCTTTTAATCTAATTTACAAAGGTGCCACTTATCTCGTACTATACGTGATGAATCAAACCTTTTCGAAAGCGACATAACTCTTATATCTGAGCGAACCCAGTTCATTCCTGTTGTTTCCTTTATTAAAACTTTAAACTCAAATCATTTCGCGACCTATATAACACAAAAACATATTAAAAGAAATAAACTATGGAACTAATTATTCCTTATAGTAAAAGAGAATAATTGAAGAAAAAGAAAATAAGATAGGGAAGAAAAGGAGAGAAAAATTCGAACATCCGGATATTCTCGATCCAACGACTCTCGAGCCGATAATTCTCACGGGGTTACTCGTTTAGACCAACTTTCCGCGATTACCATCCGATTAATATCCGGCAAATATAATTACTGGCAAAGATTCCTATCGATCGACAAATCGGCAAACACTAAATTAAAGCTTTTATTTACAGATAGGAAGAGAGTAGAGACGTTACGAAATCGTCAGAAATCGTCAGAAATCGTCAGAAATCGTCAGAAATCGTCAAAAATCGTCAGAAATCGTCAGAAATCCTCAGAAATCGTCAGAAATCCTCAGAAATCGTCAGAAATCGTCAGAAATCATCAGAAATCGCCAGAAATCGTCAGAAATCGTCAGAAATTTTGTTAAAGGTTCGGTGGAAAAATGGTTCGTCGAAACTTACCCCGTCCAGAGGACGAACTCGATCCCCTCGCCGCGATAAGTTTTCATCGCCTTGGCCGCCGACTCGACCAGCTCCCAGGGCGAATCGCAGCCGTAATCGCCGAATTTTCCGGGCGTCTTCCGCCCGCCGCCCACCCCACCGTTCCTCGTATTCCAGCACGCTGAAAAAAGCAAGGAACTGCGGGAGAAACGAGAAAGAAGAAGAAGAGGGGAGGGAGGACGCTAGGTATAAAACTCGGTGTTTGTAGGAAAGGTAGCGGTTGCTTCGTATTACCACGCTAACGGCCGAATGACACGGAGCCCGATACGAGACGCAATTTCAGCTAACTGTGTTCCGCGTTAAACCATCCCGTGCCGACCACCTTTTAAACCTTCGAGACGGGTAAACAAATTTTCGAAACGGTGGAGAAATAAAGAAAAAAAGGGAGGAAAGAGGAGATCAAATCGGAGAGAAAAAATTCGGTGTTGGAATTCTTGAGGGAAAAAAAAAAAAAAAAAAAATGTATCGCGAAAAACGTTTCGAAGGACGTTCTCTCGGCGTTTCGAGAGAGAGAGAAAAAAAAAGAAAAGAAAAGAAAAGAAAAGAAAGAAAGAAAGAAAGAGAATGGAAGAAGTAAGGATAAAGGGAGGGGAGAGGGGCAAAGACGCGGGGAGATAAAAGGGTGGGTACTTACCGGTCGCCGCGTTTGCTTGAGCGGAGTATCTCGGGTCATAGTGGATGTCGGTGATGTGCCAGAAATACCCTGGAAGCAGAGAGAACGGGGTCGTCGCGCCTTCTGCGTTTCGCTCTTTATTCGCATCCGTCCCATCGCATTTGCATACATCGTTTCTTTTCCACCGTTTCCGCGAGCCGACGTAACGTCCCGCCGCGCGTCGCGTCGTGCCAGAACGAAGATGCGAAATTGCGAGGTTGACGGGGACAGATAAGGTTGGAGGTTTCGTTCGAGAATTTTCTCTTCAGATTCCTATTTTCCGCAAATCGAATCACGTTACACGTAAAACGCAAGTAGTTTGAAAATTAATTGTAAAAAAAATCTTTCTCTCTCACTGTCTCTCTCTTTCTCGTTCTCGTTCTCTCTCGTTCTCTCTCTCTCTCTCACTCTCTCTCTTCTCGACGAGATTAGGGGCACGATCGATTCCTCTAGAGATCTAATCTGGTCTTGTCGTCGTTATCTCGAATCTTTTTAAGTTGAATTATTCGTTTCTTTCCCCCCCCCTTTTTTTTTTTTTTAATTAATCAAATGAAATTCGGATTAACTTGGTTACGGAATTTTTATTTGGATACGATCGTACGCCACGTCAGCTTGTTAATTCCGTGATACGTGATTAAAGGTGAAATTCCGTCGGATAAATTTTTCTTTTTTTTTTTTGGAACGCAACGCTCGAAGAATCGTCGAGCCACGAATTTTTGAAAAGTTTGTACCCGTTTTAATAATTCGGCTGGCGAAGACTCGAGCAGGAGAAATAACGCGTACGACGCGTCCTTAAAAAAAAAGGTTTAGAATGGCGCGGATACAGTACACGCATCCACACATTTCCATCCGGATATTTACCTATTTTTCCTTGCACAGCGCACAGCCACGAGAGCAACAACAGATAGTCGCGGATCATCTCTCCACCTTTGGATCTGTAAATTAAGTTTTTCCTTGGTAAAAATTACTCGTAATAACGTGTAACGTGGATAAGGTTCGTAAGAAAGGAAAGGTGATTTTTTTTTTTTTTATAACGGTCATCGGGGAAATCGTCGAGTTGGAAATTTGCATAATTTCGTGCGAGAAAGTTCGAATGAAAAAAGAAAAAAAAAAAAAAAAAAAGCGACAATCCAAATGTGAAATTTCACAGGAATGGAACGAGCGATAGTCTTGTTGCCGCGTACGTTACCACGCGGTGGCGCCACCTGCATCCCCTCTCAGATTTTAATCTGAAATTTAATTTCGAAGGCCGTTGACAACAATGTGTCTTGTAAAAGAGCCGTGACGCGGAAACGTGCATCATAAAAACACTTTACAAGCCTCTCTCCTGTCTGAAACGAGAGAGCTCGTAAAACGTCGACAAACCAATAACCGGTGCTCGTGGATCGTTCGACGACACGACAAAGAACTGACGCGATACTCGAAGGGCATAAATACGCGACATCTCGGGCGATCCGCGTCAATGGAAACTAAAAGTTTCTCGGCTAGGATAAGCTGGGATATTGCGAGTGGATAAACGTTCTTTGATGTTATTCATAAATGCGTATTCGCCCCCCCTCCCTCCCCTCTCCCTATTGAAAACCCTCTCGAATCAAATACCGCGAATTAATATCGCGTTTAAGACGGCTTTTTGTATTCGAAACGATTTAGGAGAGATAATCGAGCTCGATTAAAAGCTTTCCTCTTCTCCTCTTTCTCGGCAAACTACGAACGGCTCAATTACGAGTTCCTCGATATCTTTCCTCGATTCGACTCCGTGTCCGCTTATCGACGAGTAATCGATAATAAACGTCCTAAACGAATAATAATGCTTTGGTCGTTGAAAACGTTGAACGGCCATTCGCGTCTTCATTCGTATCGGCCATTGTTATTGTTTTCTTTCGCGTGAGAGTGAGAGTGGTGATATCCATCGACGAAGTGACACGTTTCCTTCTTTCGAATTTTTATTCTTCCATGAATTTCTGTGGACGATCATCCAACGAGATAATCTACGTTTACTCATTTGCTAACTTGTTAACTTCCAGTAATAAACTCGATTTATTTCTTTCTTTTTTTTTTTTTTTTCCTCTCATCTTTTACGTTTATCGTAACGCAAATATCAAACGTATCTCGATTTTTCTGTGTAAGTTATGAGATTGTTAACGAAAATTTTCATCTCTTAGTTAGGAGAAAATGTAAACATAGATAAATTTTTTTTTTTAAGATAAAAAACATTTGATAAGTATAAATTATGAACAAAGCCCTTTCGCGTATACCACCTCCCCCCCCCCTCTCCTCTCACCATACACTTGGCTTGATATTAGTCAGACGAAATGGTAGCTTGGTAGTAAGGATCGATATGTGTACACTCACGTTCATAATTCACCGGACGTTTATCAATTTTTAAGCGAAATATTCACGAAAATAAATCTTTCGTGACATTTTACAAAATAGGATATAATGCAATAAGATTATTTTTTTTTTATTTTACAAAAAAAAATAATAAAAAAAGAGCACTCTCCTCGCTCGTGGAAAAAATATTCCGCTGAAAATTTGAAATGATTCGAGATGGAAAATTTACCGTGTTGCGTATTTTTTTCTTTCTTTCTTTTTTTTTTTTTTTTCTTTTTTTTTTACGACCATTCGTCAAATACTTTTTAGCGAAACTATAGACAGAGGAGAAAGTTAACGAAAGATAACTTCGGCCCTAGAATAACCCTAGAAGAAATTCAGATTGTTCAACTTTTTGTATTCCATCTTCCAACAACTTTCGAGATGACGGATCACGCGTCGTACAGGATGATGGGAGTTTCGCAAAATTATTATAATCTTATATATGTATATGTATAAAACAGTGAAATCGGATTTTGATTTTTTTTCCAATTTTCTCTCTCTACGTCAACGAGAAACAAGCTTGATTAATATTCCGTTTTATCGTTGAACTTTTGTGTTTCCTCGAGGGAAAATTCTAATCAATAATGGAAAAAGTAACGTCGATTAATCTGCCATCTAAGTGGGTTGTTGATTAACGTTACTCATGGAATTAACTCGTTAACTCCTTAGTCACGAAATGTTAGTAAATTTTCAGGTGGCTATTAAATTTCTGACATATATATATATATATATATATTCCAGGCATAATTTGTGAAATTTTAAAGATAGAAACGTTTTTTTTCTTTTTTTTTTTAATCAATGTTTAATTTATCCGTTTTTATTTTAAATTCGATACACGTATCAAGAATAACGGTGTAATATTTACATTTGAACAAATGACAGTTGCATTTCAATTTTGCGCGTATGTCAAAAGTATTAAAATTTCACGGAGAGAAATACACACATACGCGCGCGTTAAAATCGAAATTTTACGTTAAAAATTCCGGGAGCATCATGCGCCGCGATACGTTTCATAAGTCGGAAACGCATAAATCGTAATTAATCATTAATATCGATATCGCGATATTAGTTCTGCGGTAACCTACATTTTGCATTGAAACGAATATTGATAATACATCATAGAAGGAAATCTATATTGCTTGCGTTAACAATTAAAAAAAACGAATAAAGAAATTACATCTTTAACCAGTTTTACTTTTATTTAATATACGGAACATCGTTAATTTCAATTTTGTAAAACGAAATCGACGAGATTATTTTTACATCATGATATACAAGATATAAAAGACGCGTTAATTGTGGAAAATTGTGGGAACGAGAACAATCGTTATACTTTGATAATAAAATATCGAACGATGAATTTCAAAGGAATATATATATATATATATATATATACACACACACACACATCGATCGAGAATCCTCGTCTAATAGCGGCAAACAAACAAACTCTCATCCCCGTCTCGTAACCCGTGGTTCGTTCCGCGAAGTAATTCAAAATGAAACAGCGATCCCTTAATTGTTTCGAACGGCGTATTTACACGTGTTCTCTTTACGAAACTCGAAAGTAAACTCGACAATCACGCGTGTCTCCCTCTCGAATCGAATTGCAGAGAGGGTTTAATTGGCCCGAGCTGTCTGCAAACTTTCCGCAAAGCGTAAAGTACGTAAGGATTTAATTCTGATTCCGTTTCGAAGGCGGACGCCCGCTGCCACGTTCACGCGGATTTTGAATCGCGACGCCTCTTCCGCCGATCGCTTTTCCGCGAATTTGCATTCCGATCCAATCGTAGAAACGGCCCAACGGATTTAATCACGTCCCAAAGGGAGGAGCGTCGTATCGGTCTCGCAATAACGTGGTCATCGTGCATCGGACAATGCACCGATACGAAGCACGCGTCGCCTTCGATCAACGTTCGTTTTCGTCCTTTCCTTTTCTCTTTTTCTTTTTTTCTTTTTCGCTCAAATACGTGTGATATTTGTATAACGAAAGCAGAGATATACTTTCGATTTCGAAAGATAATTGGAAGAGAGGAAACACGAACAAGTGTTCGTAATTTTTGTTACGAGATCGTGAAAATTTGTGCAAAGTAAAGAGGTTAGAAAAGAAACAATGAGAGATAACATACCTTTGTGAACATCTCTTCTTTGAATTTGTATACGAAAGTTGTATATTTCCATGACGAGTAATAAATGAATTTCATCCGAAAATGAAAATGAAAGAATACGAACCGTTGAAAGAGGACAGGAGTTATTACGGAATGGCGTTGACAATCGATAATATACACGTGCCTGGAATACAATATGCTTCGTGAGCTGCTCTTTTACTGGGTTTTTAAAACAGAAAACACAGTTTCTCTTCCGAATATGTATTTACACGTTCTACCGAGTTTCGTCCTCGAATTTTTATATTTTTCTTATATTATATTTTTCAACAACTTTCCATTAGAATTAATTAGGAAAAGAAAGGAATACACGTAATCCAACGTCAGGTTGTTCGTAAAGTAATTTCGTTTTTTCACACGAGTGTCACTAGTTGTCGAACGTTTATCCAGCCAACTTCATTCTAAACCGTGTAGTTATTATATATTTTGAAAGTTGGTATTTCACGGTTTATTTATATAAGAAAAATTCGTTCGATTCCGTTCAGTTGCGTTTCTCGTGCGTGATGAACAAAATTGAAAGGAACATTTTCGAGTTTCAATATTTTACTTTTTCATTACCAAAAAGGTGAAAGTGTTGTTCAGACAAGAAAAAAGTTACGCGAAGTCTATGGAGAAGGTGTATTAACGATACGTTAACAACTCGAGAAATTGCTATGAGATCGAATTTGTTGAATTCCATTGTTCATGATCAATGTGTGAAACGACTTTTACATATACGAATACGTGACGACTCGAAAAAAGATTGGTTGGAGAACACTGGTTTACGATAATGCGGAAAGGATATATGGGCTAGCTATTAACGAACGAATAACGAATGTGATGCAATTACAAAGGTATTAAAATATGGATAGTCGACGTGCTGCATACGTAGGTCGATTACGATCGATCGTATTGGCTGTTGGCGGCAGAGTGCTTCCGGTAAAAAGGAATTATCCGGCGAGCGGCGTCGGAGCACGATGGGAAGCCGGAAATGCGGGCATTAGCGTTGAACACGGCGGCGATAAACACGCAATTTTGTGGAAATTTTATCCGCGTATACCGGGGGACACGCGGCCCAAATTCGAAGCAATCGTGAATTTTGACTATGACAAGCATCGTCATCGCGATCGATGTTGCTTTACTACCTTTACCCATCGGGGTAATCGAGCAGAAATGAAAAATGGGCATGGTGGGTCGAGTGGCCGACCGGGTTACGAAGCATTAACCTTTCTTCTTCGTTTTAATCTCGTTCCGTGATATGATTCGATCGAATGGATTTTTATTATATATGTGGAGCAGAAACAGGAAAAACATTGCGCGCAAGGAAGAATTACTTACCATGGAATCGAAAATAAAATACAAGTATCGCCGAGTATTCAAAAAGAAACATCGAAGATTGAAGATCGCGAGAAGAGAGT